CAGCAGCAGCAGCAGCCTTGGGTGCAATCCCAAAACATCTGGAACACCACTTGAAGGCTATCAGCATTGACAAAATCACCCTCAGTCCATTACAAAAGGCAGCTTTTCTTGGAACAGTTTGTATCTTGCAACGATACCTCTAATGCCTTCAGACAACAACATCTGCCTATCCCAGGTCCTTGGGAAGGACTCGATAGGTGGATAAAAATGCCAAATCCAGTCTAAACATCTGGCTGACTGTGCAACCAACCATAATATTGGAGTTCTGGTTGTATGTATGTTCTGGAAGGCAGACTCTGGGTAAGTCTGTATAAAATTCAGAAAGAATAAACTTCTCTTACACCCCTAAACCACGTGGACAGGAGATATTGATCAAATACGAAGCGCAAGGAGTAAAGCATTCAAATGGGTTTGTTCGTAACTATTCACCTTTCCCCATAATTTAGTTCTTACTGGCAAGGTGGGAATAAACCCCAGAAGGATGTTATACTGTAAGTGGCATTAGGCTGACAACTCCGTTCCTTTTCGCGGTGGCATCTAAGACCTCCTGGTGCATGTGCTTAATTAAACAATATCCTATCTATAAATCCCCAGGCCTTAAGAATACAATAAGAAGTTTTGCTTTGGGGAAACAAGGGGACAAGCTGCCTTGGCCCATTAACTCATGAAAGCTTCCTGCTACCATGGATATATGGAATAAAATATTGCTCCCAGACATTAAAGCCATCATCTGTCACTTTTCTAGCTATCGGCTTTCATCACAGGTAAATGGAACGGAATACAAATAAAGGGGGGAATAAAGAGAATTAAGATCAAAATAACTCTGAGTTAGATTTTGCCACGGCTAGTTCACATTGTCAACGCGTAACCTCGTCTAGTTTGGAACTGGTGGTGTTTCGGGGCACCGTGCCTTGTTACACAGTCTTGTCCAATGGTACGAAAAGGAGTGAGAAAGGAAGTTAAAAGTTGCAGATCATGAGAGATCTCATAGGACTTGGCAGTGCTGCAGGAGGACACTTGAATCTCATGTGGATCCTGCATTTTTGCCTGAAATCACATAAGACCTCATCTGTTAACGCAGAAATCTGACAAGAGTTGGAGATGGTGGAATGTTTGCTCCACTGGAAAATCTCATAAGAGTTGGAGATCATGAGATGTTTGGTCCACTGCTAATAGAATGGAAAGCAGGATGGATGGAACTTGCTCTGGATCCTCATCATGGCCATGCAGGAATTTCAGCTAGAACCTCTACAATCCTAGTCCAACATTCAAACCAACTACTGTATGCCAGGTCCTTCTGAACTTGGAGGTCAGGTGGGAACCTACAGGTAGTCCCCAGTTTAAGAACAAGTTCCATTCCCAAGGTCTGTCCTTAAGTCAAATTTGTATGTAAGTCAGAACAGTATTATTGTACAATACTGTATAAATAGTATTGTGTAATGAACTCGAACCATTATGTATTTAACCTGGATTTTGCTACAATAGGCTCCGTTCTAAACTATGGGTCGTCCATAAACTGGGCATTCTTAACCCGAGGACTACCCTGTAAACCCACATTTTATTTCAACATCATTCTTAGAGGAAATTAAAAAAGCATGGATTTTTACTAACTTCCTCAGATTTATTAGCAATTCTTACAATTTAAAGAGGTGTGCAGGAAAAGGAGAGAGAACGAGAGATCTTTATTCTTAAAGTCCTAGCATGGCTATGATCCTCTGGGTTGATTTAGTTAGATGAATCCCCTCTGTCAGCTTCTCTTGCTGCCAACATTAGCACATACTTGACTCATTTTAATTTAAATAGACACAGAAGTAAATAGAAATAATTTGACTGCCAAAAGAAGGCCTATTTCAGATCTGAGCAATCTGTTCCAGATGGGGAGGTGATTTTTCCTACCGTTTTTTCAAAAATTGCTGGCTTTTTTTCTAGGCTTCCAGGAAGTGAAGAGATTCCCACAGTCCAGGATGGAATGCTCATTATTAATAGACACCAAGAAAGCATCTTGGAGGAATCTTGCTTAGCAAGCAAAACTGTGGCTATTATTCATGTTTTAGTGCCACTGTAAATATCTTCTGGTCCACTTTTTAAAAGGTTAAACCCATTCTTTGGAGACAGAGCACTTTTATAGCTGCAGGGATGGGTGTAAATTCAGAATCCAGGAAACACGGGTGCTGTTGATAGTCCAAACCAGGAAAAGAATTGGCTGAGCACCCTGGAACATCAGTTACACTTTAGGTGTGTTACTTATATCACTAAGGATGGAGCATTACCAACTTGTCAATGCCTAT